CCGAAAAATTATTGGCTGGATCCTCTGCAATATCTAGCCCATTCCTAGGATAAAATGCTTCACCTCTACAAGTTTTTTTCCTCTACCCTTGTCTTTTCCATTCCCACTGCTATAACTCTATTTGGTTCTCTTAATACCCCACTTGAATTATCACGTACACTTTCTACTTCTTATTCCCAGCTCTTCCCTATTCCAATTGATTTTTACTATCACAAGATTAATCTTTCTGAGCAATGTTTTTGACCATAGCAAACTTGTATTAAAAAAACTCAATGGCCTTCCCTGCCTTTGGAGTGAGGCCCAAGTCTGGTTTTATTTATTAATTTATTTATTTTTGAGACAGAGTATCACTCTGTTGCTTGGCTAGAGTGCAGTAGTGTCATCATAGCTCACTGCAACTTCAAACTCCTGGGCTCAAACGGTCCCCCTGTCTCAGCCTCCCAAACAGCTGGGACTACAGGTGCATAGCACATGCCCAGCTAATTTTTTCTATTTTTAGTAGAGATGGGGTCTTGCTCTTGCTTAGGTTGGTCTCTAACTCCTGACCTCAAGCGATCCTCCTGTCTTGGCCTCTTAGAGTGCTAGGATTATAGGCATGAGCCTAGCTCCAAGCCTGGTTTTAAATTCTATAATGAACTTCTACAGACAGCCACTAAATTAGCCCCTCTCTTTTGCCAATATCAAAATTATTTTAACCATTGAAAGAGGATATATATTGCAAATCACGAGCAAAAAAACAAAAAAAAAAAGGGGGGGAAAAGATCTAGCTCAGTATGATTTCTGGATAAGAATAAAATAAACATGACTACCATTCAAGATGGAAGAAGCTAAAAAAAGGTCAAAAGTAAAAAAATCCCAACCATAGTTGAAAAATGTTAGGTTATAGGCAAGCTGGAATGTTACCCTTTGAATGTAAATCTAAATCTAGCTCCTAGGCTCCAAAGACTGAAAGGAAGTGGAGGAAATACTATTGTTATATTTGAGCAGATTCCAAGACTCTGTCCAAACTTGATTCTTACTTTCCTTACTAAAGCACACTAAGGTCAACTCTCCATGTAAAAGAAAATACCTAGCATGGCTACTGTCTTTGATTAGTTTTTGTTTAAATGATGATCTTATTATACCATATAAAATAAATAAAACAATATAAAAAGCTGATGATCTCTTATTAAATAATATTTTATCTCATGAAAAGATGAAGCTTGAAACATCTTCCTAGGATAAGAGGAAATATCCCCTAGGAGCAATGGTTCAGTATGCACTAACTCAGTGTTCAGAACCACTTTATAGAACGTAACTGCTACGATAAATGAGAATCAACTATACCTTTAAAGAGCACATTTTACTTGCAACATGAAAATCAGTAAAATAGTTAACTTTAGATATGCATAAAACACAATAAAGGAGACAACTGATTAAAAATTAAGTATATTAAATATAGTAAAGTCTAGAACAGGGATGGCAAATAGATTTCATCTTGCACATCAGCTCTGAAGAACATTGTGTAATGAATAAGGTACATCCTGAAGCTGTACTTTGACTCATTGGGAAAGAGTACTATAATCAATTAGTAATGTTGGTCAGAGACATGAGAAAGGATAATGTTATCTGTGTCATGTATTTGCCATTCCTGTACTACTGTACTTCAAATAATCCCATAAAATGTACAATTACAAAATTACTTACTGCTTCAACAGAGTTACATTCTCGTCTTGTTTCTAAATAACGTAGTGCTCGTTTTTCTTCTTCTTTTAATTTAGCATCTGCCTGTCCAGAAGCAAAATAGCAATCGTTTTAAGAATAGCAAGAGAATAGGTCAAATTATCACATATACTAAGTTCTGACTTACATATTTCATATAATTCTGTACACCATTTTGTTGTAAATACGAGGGTGCTTGTGTCCTATAAAATCTCTCTGTTGAATCCAAGTATGCCTTCTCAAAATTGTCCCTATAAATTTGAAGCTTATCCTCAGGATTAGAGCAAAGGTTAACTGAAAAACAGAAAATAAAATTTTATTCTAATTGTGATTTAAGTCAATATTTTGAGTACAATAAATGAAATAAATATTGAGGAGTCATTACGTACAAGGTAACGATGCTCAAGAGAACATATAATCATGTAAGACAAAATCTTTCTTCATAAGAAACTTAAAAAAATAGCAGCACAAAGCAATAAAGTAACAAATAAATAGTACAGATAATATGGACTATTATTTTTTAATAGGAAAGAGATTAACTTCTAATTGGATGATCCAGAAAAAATACAACAAAGATATGGGATTAAAACTGAATCTTTTTTTGAGACAGAGTCTCACTTTGTTGCCCGGGCTAGAGTCAGCCTAGCTCACAGCAACTTCAAACTCCTGGATTCAAGTGATCCTGCCTCAGCCTCC